GGAGACAAGGACTACACATTTAATACATTTAATTACATGTCACTCACTTTGGCAGATACTGGTATCTACTAATCATTATCCCATTGTAAATATATCACTCTACCAGACTCATTTGCTAGTTTTTTTCAAACACTCTACATACATGCAGCGCTGGGGACTCATTTGTTTAAAATTATTACTAAGATATTGAGATGGGTTTTCCCTGCCACATTGCACCCACTTTACATCATGTGACACTGCAGTCAAATTGTTATCTTCTCATATACTATTCCAGGTATTTTTTAGGCAGGCAGGGTCCCCCTCCTGGTCCCAACAGTGGAATATGGTCTGTGTACAGTTGTTGCCTTGTTGTCCAACAGGCAGAGGGTTGGATCCTTGGAGTTGATGATGGATTGGGCTGACCTTCATACACCTATGGTGAGAGGAGCTAAATGGGGAGGGCCCTGGGCTTCAGTAGGTTGGTCCCACTGAGCATGTGCAGCCGTTTGTGTGTGCATTGCAAATACGTTACAAGACAACCAAAATATTTCCCAGCAACAGTTATCAGCAAGCTTGCAAAACAACCAATTTGGCCCTGTCTAACAGTATGCATTAAAAACAGAGCATTTTTTTTGCACACATTTGCAAATCTGTGCGTAAGCCACAGTCCCACGTCAAGGGTCCTCTGTATACTATGGACCTAACCAAAATTTTCAAAGCTTCCATAATAGGAGCACATGTATGAATGGATAGGTTAAGGGCAGGTGTGCCTGGAGGAGCCCATACCTCCTTATAGGTACAAGGACTCATGTGACGCCCAGCTATGTCAAAATGACAGCAAAGGCATCCCTGTGTCCAATTTAGCTAACTACAAAAAAAGAAAATGGCAACTGTCCCAACCTATAACCAGCCTTAGTAGTAAGGTGCACACGGAAGGGCAATGCACATCACAAGACAAACAAAAGATTTCCCAGCAACACTTACCAGCCAGCTTGCAAAACAACCAGTTTGGCCCTGTATAACAATATGTGTTAAAAACAGAAGGTTTTGTTTGCAAATATTTGCAAATACATACGTAAGCCACATTCCCGCATTGCAATTACATTACCTGCCAGAAGCTCACCACTGCAGATGGTGAAATTATGAATATAAATATAGGGAGCTGATAATTTCACCCCTTTGTGCTGGTGGGTTAATACCCTTTTTGTATAAGATAATCTATCTGGAAGTAATATGAAGGGTTTATTTGGAATATTGAAGTACAAACATAGATTTACTACAGATATGGTCTATTTATAGATAAAGAAAAACCCTATAGGGGGTGCTATCCAACATGTGCTGTAGTTAATCTAATAAATGCACAGGTCTCAGTCCAGACAAATGATCGGGAGTAGGCAGGACCAGCTCCTAATCATGTGGCCACTGTGACACAGTGGTAACATGATTGCCAATCCTTCCTGCCGCTGGGCATTCATAACTTTGTATAGACACACTGGGGCAGGTCTAAAAGGGTACATTAGGTTAACCCATGTAAAAATCTTTTTCCTAACTATGACTCACATTTTTGTTCCTATTAAGGTGACATTGTTCAGTTTAACCAATGAGGTAGTGGCTCACTTTTTCCTTAGAGCTTTTAAATTGGGGGAAACTTTTCAGGGTGGCATTTTTTCCCTTGGGCATAATTTTTTACTCATAAATGGTATAAAGAAAACCCAGTGCTATATATCAAATCCCTTAAAAAATCAAACACAACCTTAAATAATACCCATAATCCTTACCTGTGTATATAGACATAAAATGCAAACTATATACATCCTTATTAAAGCAATATAAATACATAACAGTCAAAATAGCTGATAATAATCCTAACAAAGGAGATAGAATGTGTGATATAAACAGTGATTCAATCAATATGAAAAATGTATACTGTACTGTATGTCTAGTGATACAAGTCCATATGCAGCACACAGTTGTCTTTGATAATCTTCAACCATATGTGTATTTGGATGTGTCCATAATCGTAAACCATATGTGTATATGGATGTGACCTTAAGAGCTGGACTTATTAAATTACAGGAGCTCAGGAAGGCATATTCTCTTCAGGGGTTGGGAACACTCCACATGCACTTTCCTCATGTTGGAGAGATGGACATCTCAAGTTATAAGAGGCTTAGGAAAGCTTTTCAAGCTCAATGTGTTCACCTTTCTAGAACTTTGTTGCTAATGTGCTATGTATGTGGTTTCATATTTTTGTATTGATAAAGTTCAATAAAATTGTTATTTATAAAACAAATACAAATCATAGTGCTTTCTGCTATACTTTAAAAAAAAAATGAACTGGTAAAAACACTTACACGTGCATGATGTAATAAGCGCACTTCAAACCAAAGACTTTGGGATTTGTAAACATCTTTCCTAAGGGATAAAGGCAAATCTCCTGCTCACTCTCCTCTCTGCAAAACCAAACTTCCTAGAGTGATGGCATCTCCATCCCAAGCTCTACCTTATGAGTTATGCCCTCAAGACATCATAAAAAGCTTAGGGTAGTGAATATCCCACCTCTATGGCCATAGAGACTGTAAACAACTCATCTTTTTGGTTGCACATTGATCTGCTCTCAGTGGACATACCAAAACTCACTACAATGGAACTGCCTCAAGACTAAATAAAGGGCTAAAGCACCTAACATATACACTTAATTCTACTACAATAATAAAAATGTACTGTATTGTATATGTATAATATGTCCAATGACAGTGTACAATATAAAAAAATATGGCATGGGTTAGTTAAATATAACACATTAGGATGGGCTAGTCAAAAATAGCACATTAGCACTAAAGGGCCAGAGCATTTAGCATACTCTATATTGCCAAAAGTATTGGGACACCTGCCTTTACACGCACATAAACTTTAATGGCATCGCACTCTTAGTCCGTAGGGTTCAATATTGAGTTGGCCCACCCTTTGCAGCTATAACAGCTTCAACTCTTTTGGAAAGCTGTCCACGAGGTTTAGGAGTGTGTCTATGGAATGTTTGACCATTCTGCCAGAAGCACATGTGTGTGGTCAGGCACTGATGTTGGACAAGAAGAACTGGCTCTGCACTAATTCATGTCAAAGGTGTTCTTCTGGGTTGAGGTCAAGACTTTGTGCAGGCCAGTCAAGTTCCTCCACCTCATACTCTCTCATCCATGTCTTTATGGACCTTACTTTGTGAACTGGAGTGCAGTCATGTTGAAACAGGAAGGGGCCATTCCCAAACTGTTCCCACAAAGTTGGGAGTATACAATTATCCAAAATGTCTTGGTATGCTGATGCCTTAGGAGTTCCCTTCACTGGAACTAAGGGGCCAAGCCCAACTCCTGAAAAACAACCTCACACCATAATCTCCCCTCCACCAAACTTTTGCACTTGGCACAATGCAGTCAGGCAAGTACCAAATCTCTTGGCAACCGTCAAACCTAGACATGTCCATCAAATTGCCAGAAGAGAAATGTGATTTAATACTCCAGAGAACACATCTCCACTGCTCTGGAGTCCAGTGGCGGTGTGATTTACACCCAGACATGTCCATTGGATTTCCAGACAGAGAATCATGATTCATCACTCCAGAGAACACATCTTCACTGCTCTAGAGTTCAGTGGCGTCAAGCTTTACACCACTGCATCCAAAGCTTTGCACTGCACTTGGTGATGTAAGGCTTGTATGCAGCTGCTCAGCCATGAAAACCTATTCCATGAAGCTCTCTATGCACTGTAGTTGTGCTAATCTGTGTGCCGTGACGTAACTCGTAGTGACGTGGTGACATAATATCCGGCATGGACGCCATCTTTGTACTCCAAAACGAACCCATGCAGATGTACACCCATAGCATGAGGTTTAAAGTGCCTGCAACCATCTGATAAAATGTGAGTGGCAATTTGGCTTTACGTTTGATGCTTCTATTTATTAAACTATATTACACTATGGAGGCTCTCTTACCTGTCTTTATTATGAGTCCTGTGGGAGTTGGCTATATCATTCATACCTAGAGGTGCAATTTGATGTGATAGTATACTGCTATCTGGAAGAATCTCATTAAAAAAGGAAATCGTGCTTGGAGGATCCAGGAGTGATCCAAAAGCTTTTGGGCCCATTGGGTCACGGTAAGGAGGTGAGGAGGCAATTCAGATATTTTCGGATTGAACACCAGTGGCTGTAGTGCACATCCACAGCACTGTTTGCATGTTTCATATTCGTGGAACACTGAGTTCGCATGCACTAATTGTGTTGGACTTTTTTTCTGTTGAAATGTATATATATTTTGCTGGGAGATTTATTTATTAATGTTTGATTATATAAAATTATTTTTTTAGGATGGGTTTGACATATTTTTGGAAACACTAAGCACTGTTCACTTTAATTGAATGATCTATCCCCCAGTGCTGGGATCACTTGTTTGTTTTTCACTGATTTTTGATCAGTCCCCTGATCCTTGTAAGGATCTGGGTTATTGTGAGCACATTTGTGTTTTAAATATACCACATTGGGTATATTCTTAGTTCACTGTTTTTTATTAGTTATATCCCAAATGGGATCAATACACTATTGAGTTATCACCTTTATATATTCAAATGATTACCGTATTTTTTTTCGCACCATAAGACGCACTGATTAATTTTTTTCCCCCCCAAAAAGGGGGGAAAATGTCAGTGCGTCTTATGGAGCGAATATAAAGCGGCCGAGGTCCGGTATTTTTGCACCACCATGTCAGAATACCGGGCCGGCCGCTCAGCTGTTGTCTCCTGCAGGGGCCTTACCTGTTCCTCGCTCCAGCGCTGCACAGTCTTCCCGCGCTGGCTTCTGTGACAGCCGGGTGCCCACTGCGCATGTGCTGCGCTTTGTGAATGATCCGGTGTCTTCTGGGACACATGAAGGGTCCCAGAAGGCGCCGGGCCATTCACAAAGCGAAGTGCTTCTCGCACCTGCGCAGTGGGCACCCGGCTGTCACAGAAGCCGGCCCGGGAAGAAGAGGAAAGGCAACTCCGCGGAAGTGGGAGCGGGTACCTGTCAAATTCAGGTAACCGCTCCCCCTCCCTTCCCAAAGGTCAAGCAGTCTCTGGTCATCCCCTGCACTGTCTGCAGTCTCTTGGACATTCCCTTACTGTCTGCAGTTCTCTGGTCATTCCCTGCACTGTCCGCAGTCTCTGGTCATTCAATGCACTGTGTCCACAGTCTCTGGTCATTCCCTGCACTGTCTGCAGTTCTCTGGTCATTCCCTGCACTGTGTCCGCAGTCTCTGGTCATTCCCTGCACTGTCCGCAGTCTCTGGTCATTCCCTGCACTGTCCGCAGTCTCTGGTCATTCCCTGCACTGTGTCCGCAGTCTCTGGTCATTCCCTGTACTGTGTCCACAGTCTCTGGTCATCCCCTGTACTGTGTCCGCAGTCTCTGGTCATCCCCTGTACTGTGTCCGCAGTCTCTGGTCATCCCCTGTACTGTGTCCGCAGTCTCTGGTCATTCCCTGTACTGTGTCCGCAGTCTCTGGTCATCTGCACTATGTCCGCAGTCTCTGGTCATCTCCTGTACTATGTCCGCAGTCTCTGGTCATCTCCTGCACTGTGTCCGCAGTCTCTGGTCATCTCCTGCACTGTTTTCTGCAGTCTCTGGTCATCTCCTGTACTGTGTCCGCAGTCTCTGGTCATCTCCTGTACTGTTGTCCGCAGTCTCTGGTCATCTCCTGTACTGTTTCTGCAGTCTCTGGTCATCTCCTGTACTGTGTCCGCAGTCTCTGGTCATCTCCTGTACTGTGTCTGCAGTCTCTGGTCATCTCCTGCACTATTTCTGCAGTCTCTGGTCATCTCCTGTACTATGTCCGCAGTCTCTGGTCATCTCCTGTACTGTGTCCGCAGTCTCTGGTCATCTCCTGTACTGTGTCCGCAGTCTCTGGTCATCTCCTGTACTGTGTCCGCAGTCTCTGGTCATCCCCTGTACTGTGTCTGCAGTCCATTGGTTCAGAATATTTTTTTTCTTGTTTTTTCACCTCTAAAACCTAGGTGCGTCTTATGGTCAGGTGCGTCTTATGGAGCGAAAAATACGGTATATTTTTTATTTTATGTATTTATTTTATATGAATTGATTTATTTATTTGAGTTTGTTTATGAGCGCTACACCAATCATTTCTTGTTTATATCTTTAATAACTCTTATATTACCCATAAATAACTAAGAAGGTGGGTTGGTTGAGAATGAGCTGTAATCAACTATGAATTTTAGGTGACATGACTTTTGTGACATATCGAAAAAAAAAAAAAAAAAAGAAAACTGCTCTTGTGCTCTATAAATGTCAAAAGTTTAAAAAACTGCAAACACACTGAGATATTTTTCATACTCTAGATCAATAAATATACCCAAATCAATAAGAACGATAATAACAAAAATGTAAGTACAAATTGTCATTACAGAAATAACTAATTGAAAAAAAAATAAAAATAAACAAATAGTGTCCAATTAATGGATTATAAAGTCAGCATGAGAGCAAGAGAGTATCAGTTAAAATCTTGCACTGATGCCACAAATTCACCACCACCACAATTTCTTATGATCTAAGTGCCAGTGCCATCACGGTACAGATATAGGCTTACCAGCATGCTATGCCCCTCTAACTAAAGAACAGTTATAAAAGGCCTTGTGTGTAATTCCCCTGGAATGCACCCTCATTAATTGGTTCATATACTTCATCTACTTTTGGCTGTTATCCATCTGCCTCTCCAGAGGAAATTGTAGGCCAAACGTCTATTGTTTCTGACATCTACTTCCAACAGTTCATCTTAGGCTTGGAACATGGAGGGAGATTGATATTATTATCATAATGTATTTTTTGATTTGGGTATATTTATTGATCTAGAGTAGCGCAACACGTATGTTTATGATTTTGTTGTGTATCGCACCGCAGCACGTCTGAATATTCTTAGTTATAAATAAATAATAGTTATGAACTCAGAATTTCAAGATTACACATCTGATGCTGTACCTGCTGTGCCGCCGGCACATTAGCACAAAAGGGCCAAAGCAGCTAACATTTACCCTTAATCCTACCTCAACTATAAATGTGTACATCTTAAATTAATTATATATATCTCCTCTAACCCTATATCATCCTCAGTATGACCATATAAGCACTGTACAATATCAGAAATGTGTTATGGGCTAGTTAAAAATGAATCTCAAATTACCCATCAATAACGTAACCTGTATGTATATAATATATTGCACTTAAGGTACATTAAATAGTACATCTAAGGAACACTATTTATGAATCTCTTAGAAATCCCCAAGGAAACAAACAAAAAAAAAATATAAAAACATAGAAAAAACCACAATGTACTCTAAAGCAAGAGGTACTGCATTTGTGAAACAATAAAGGTTAAAATCTATATAAAGACCACCCAGGGTCTTTGGTATTGTATATCCAGCAGGATTCCCTCATATTTAGAGTTCTTATGAAATTCTCTGCTCTCCAGTGTCTCCTCACCTTCTCCACCCCCCACCAGAACTGTAGACTTTCAGGGTCTCAATTATGATGCACACCCTAAAGTGATTAGACACACTGTGGGAAATTCAGTAAAGCTGCAACACCAGTTTTCTGGTGTTAATCCCTCTTGTACTGTACAGCACCAAATTCATAAAGCATTTGTGACACTTTTGGTTCTGACCGCGACTCCTGCACTAACTTCAGGCCGTCCTAAAATGCACCACTTTTACATTGTGTCTCAATGAATGTGCCATTTCTACATTGGGGAGATTTACTAAAAACTGATGCACACAGACTTTAGTGCTGCTGAGTGTAGTAACCAATTAGCTTCTAACTTTTGCTTGCTCAATTAAACTTTGACAATAAAACCTAGAAGCTGATTGGTTACTATGCACAACTTCACCCGATTCTGTGTGCATCAGTTTTAGTAAATCTCCCCCAATGTGTTGTATTAAATGCATCAAAGTGGAGCTAATTAAGACCAACTCTCTTTCGCCATACAGAGGGAAAACTATCTCAGACAAATTTTGTGACAGGGTCTCAAGTGCATTCTAAAAGTGCCTAGTTCAAGTACAAGTTCTAGATAGATATATGAATTTGGTGCATTCTTCATCACTTTTATGCATGAGTGACACTTTTTTAGCAAAATCTGTCTGCGCCAGTCTTTATGAATTTCAGGGACTGCGTTTTGTGTATCCTTTGTTTAATGTTATACACATGTTCTGAACATAAAGGGACCCTTTGATAAAGCCAGGTCACGAAACACGTGTCAGGGTCAGGTCAGGCCGCATGACATATTCTGTAATGAGGCATCCACTTTACATTCCCCGCTGGAAGTGACATATCGTCGCGAGCAGCGAGGAGGATCGGGTGAGACTCTCGTTCCATGTGATATACAGATACCCTTTACGGTTATTGTGGATATTTTGGCATGCTTTCATTTATTTCATGTGAGTGCAATACTTTCTATCCAATAAATGGTTTTTAATGGATTCACGCTATGAATTTCCTTTCGCATCTTTCCCTGATTATGGAGTGTAATAGTTTGGAGGATGTCCCGCCATCATATCAGTCTCTAATTGATGAAGGCCTTGTTGATTGATGATCTGTACTATGTTGACACTAACCACAAGCGCTATTGCCTATCAGGTTTGGATGGGCCACGATATCTGGTAAGTGCCACTGAATTTGGGGGAGGTTTTCCTCTGGAGCACGCGGTGATATCTGAGTGTACTTTATTCAATCAATTATCATTATGTTGTTCATGTGGTGATCTCGGTGGATCAATAAGGACTTTGCACTTCATCACAATTTTCATTTTTCAGTTGGTGGACTTACCGTATTTTTCGCTCCATAAGACGCACTTTTTTCCCCCCAAAAAAGGGGGGAAAATGTCAGTGCGTCTTATGGAGCGAATATAAAGCGGCCGGTCTGGTATTTCTGCCGCCACCATGTCAGAATACCGGGCTGGCCGCTCAGCTGTTGTCTCCTGCAGGGCCTTACCCGTTCCTCGCTCCAGCGCTGCAGTCTTCCCACGCTGGCTTCTGTGACAGCCGGGTGCCCACTGCGCATGTGCTGTGCTTTGTGAATGATCCGGTGTCTTCTGGGACACATGAAAGGTCCCAGAAGGCGCCGGGCCATTCACAAAGCGCAGCGCTTTCTCGCACATGCGCAGTGGGCACCCGGCTGTCACAGAAGCCGGCCCGGGAAGAAGAGGGAAGGACAACTCCGCGGAAGTGGGAGCGGGTATCTGTCAAATTCAGGTACCCGTTCCCCCTCCCTCCCCAAAGGTCAGCAGTCTCTGGTCATTCCCTTCACTGTCTGCAGTCTATGGTCATTCCCTACACTGTCTGCAGTCTCTGGTCATTCCCTGCACTGTCTGCAGTCTCTGGTCATTCCCTGCACGGTCTGCAGTCTATGGTCATCCCCTGTACTGTCTGCAGTCTCTGGTCATACCCCTGCACGGTCTGCAGTCTCTGGTCATCCCCTGTACTGTCCGCAGTCTCTGGTCATTCCCTGCACTGTCCGCAGTCTCTGGTCATTCCCTGCACTGTCCGCAGTCTCTGGTCATTCCCTGCACTGTCCACAGTCTCTGGTCATCTCCTGCACTGTGTCCGCAGTCTCTGGTCATCTCCTGCACTGTGTCCCAGTCTCTGGTCATCTCCTGCACTGTGTCCGCAGTCTCTGGTCATCTCCTGCACTGTGTCCGCAGTCTCTGGTCATCTCCTGCACTGTGTCCGCAGTCTCTGGTCATCTCCTGTGTCCGCAGTCTCTGGTCATCTCCTGTACTGTGTCCGCAGTCTCTGGTCATCCCCTGTACTGTGTCCGCAGTCTCTGGTCAGTCCTCTGTGTCCGCATCTCTGGTCATCTCCTGTACTGTGTCCGCAGTCTCTGGTCATCCCCTGTACTGTGTCCGCAGTCTCTGGTCATCCCCTGTACTGTGTCTGCAGTCCATTGGTTCAGAATATTTTTTTTTTCTTGTTTTTCACCTCTAAAACCTAGGTGCGTCTTATGGTCAGGTGCGTCTTATGGAGCAAAAAATACGGTATGTCAAATGATTTAAATATGTGTGTATATTATTTGGAGTGTTATATTTTACATCATATTCCCACTTTGCTATTGTATTCAATTTTTTTTGTGCTGCTTTTATTTATCAATGTTCTGAAGATAACAGAGCAATAAGTGCAGTGCTTCATAGGATATATGCTTCCAATACTTACAATAACGTAAACTAAAATGAAAAAGATACCTACTATAATGATCTGAAAGAAAAATGACATCCCAAAATATTCTATCATATAAAAATATATGGCTCATATCTATCTATCTATCTATCTATCTATCTATAGATAAATAGTGTATAAAAGTGCTAAAAATATAAATAAACAAATAAATAAATGTCATAGTATTCTTCATTAAAAGTCTCTTAACATGCAAAAATCCCCTCCCATATGTAAAATATGCATCCTCATCGGGAAGCAGTGATACCAGAATCACGGGTGCAGCTGGTAACATTTTTTCAGTCAACGATGGACTTTCATGTATAAGCGATCCAAGCAGCTCTACAGCTGTCAATATCTCT